AAAGATTTCTTTCTGAAAGAAATTTTTTAGAAAAACATATAACGCTATTCTCTCTAAAGCCCTCGCTCCCAAACAATCATTTATTTGCTCTCTCAAGGTATATGCCCGTAGTAATACTAATAATAATAAATTAAAATTTTTTATATTTTCTCATTGTTTTTCATAATATATTTAATAAAACGATTGATAAAACCACTAACCAATTACTTAATTTGTAATAGTTCATACATGCACCCATAAAACTACCAAAAGTCAATAGAATTGGCCTTATGTGTATATGCTTTTCTTTTTCTTTTGTTTTCTTTTGTATTATTATCATGTTGTATACTTCTATGAAATCAAATAGCATATGTACATTTTTTTTAACCTGTAATATCTCTCTCTCAAATTATAGGGAATCTCTCTCTCTCCCTGCTATAGGTACATGGTATATCAATATTTCGTATAATATTTCTCTCTCAGCTATAGGTACATGGTATATCAATATTTAGTATAATATTTAGTTAGATATATTGGTGTTGAGTGGTATTGTCTTTATGTGCATGAGGTGAGAGACAAGAGATGGAGAGACAGAAAGAGCACATAGACATAGAGAGATACTACATGTAAACCTATCTTTCTCTAGCTTTGCTTTGCTTTCTATTATGGGATTGCGGGATACATAAATTTTTATATTCAATTAGTTCCCTATTATAAAATCATCTTTAATGTTCTATATCTAATTATTGTGTTAAAATTTGAAAGTCTTTGATTTTAGTTACTGATTACATATAGTTATTGTCGCTCTCTCACACACATAAGATAGAGAAGAGCAATTTTATGCGGTCTAATATTCTTGCATATTTTGTGCAGAAACAAGTGATAAGCAACTCAAGAGCAGTTAGGATTTTGTATGGCTGATAGAGACCTCTTTTACTCAAAGGATCACTATTGGATCTGAGGTCACATCTCCAAACTTATTATTTTTGTTCTTCTTCTTTTGATATTTCATTGTATCATGAGTGATGTAGAGAGTGGAGAGAGAGAGGGGAAGAGATGACGGTAACAGTCTCATAAACTTATTATTTTTGTTCTTCTTCTTTTGATATTTCATTGTATCATGAGTGATGTAGAGAGTGGAGAGAGAGAGGGGAAGAGATGATGGTAACAGTTTCATAAGTAATGTGAGAGAAAGGGGTGAGAGATATGGTGGTAATGGTCCTAAGTCTATCTCTCTCTCATATATGAACTTTCTCGTTTTAGAAAAAAAAATTACTTGGAGAGTTCATAATAGTTTATATTATGGAAAAATTACATACATATTCATTATAGTTTCCGTTATTACTGCTCTATAGAAAAAAAATTACTTGGAGAGTTCACAATAGTTTATATTATGGAAAAATTATATACATATTCATTATAGTTTCCGTTATTACGGCTCTACCGAATAGTTTATGTTATTACCACTGTGTCTGTTTTTTTTCATGTCAAAACAAAAATTTTAAAAAAAGATGACTTTACCCTTTTTCAACAATCGAAAATACAGCAATTTAAAAAAAAAATGTTTTATAAGCATATTTTCTCTTCTCTAAAGTCATAGTTATCCGATAAAATCAAAGGGTAACAACTAATTTGAGCTCCAAAATTTAGGAGAAATCTTAGGAAGTATGAGATTAGAAGATTAGGATAAATCTTGTGGCTTATTCTCTCTGTACCTCTTTGAGGTTATGGTTATCTGATAAAATCAGGGGAACATCTAGTTTGAGCCCTTAAATTTAGGAAAAATCTCAAGGATTATGAACTTGAGTTAAAAAAAAACATTTTTACCCATGTAATGGAGAGAGAGACGTAGAGAGAGGATACGCAAAACAATTCGGTACTTGAAGAAAAGATATTCAAAAATCGAAATTGAACCAATTTCAGAAAAATGGTAAAGTCATCTTTTTTAAAAATTTATGTTTTGACATGAAAAAAATAGAGACGATGGTAATAATGGAAACTATTCAGTAAAGCCGTAATAACATAAACTATAACAAGTATGCCTGTAATTTTCCCTTAGATTATTGTTACGACATAAATACATGTTATGGCCAATTTGGATGCATAATTCATATAAAAAATTTATTGCTACGAGATAAATGTATGTTATGGCCAGTTTGGCTATATAATTCAAATAAAAAACTCACATAGTTTTTTATATTGAATTTTAAAATCTTGGTATTTAATTTTATTGAGTCCACTTACTGTTTGGTTGAATAGGAATAGAGAAAAAATTGTCGGTGCTATACCTAGCTTTCACCTAATTTTTTTTTTTTTTTTCTTCTCTATTTCTTTCTTACTCTCAATCAATTATATATCTTCTACTTTTTATTGTATTTTCTCAAGAGGTATGTTAGGATTCATGAATTACATATTGATATGATTATTTACATGAATTATCACTTTGTTGTTCTATGTG